AGTTAACCTAGAGTTGTAAAAAGATAATGGTTATAGGACAGTGATCCTGACATATATAACCCACATGATATGACAAAGATATAGTTTTGGTAAAGATCAGGGGCCCACGAAGATTTGCAGGAAATATCTGTAGACTAAAGAATCCTGGCACAGATGTATAAGGCCGCCGCATCCTTCCTAGCCCAAAGCCCCTTCCAGAGCAGCCTGTGAGAACCCAGCAGCTCCCCTGCTCACATGCCTAGTGGTTTGGTGAGTGGCTGCAACTGTGGCAGCTGAGATGTCAGAAGGCCCTGGGAGTACTGGTCTCCTGCAAATCACTCTTCAGCTCTCTGCACAGTGTGGAAGGGGGTCCTAGGAATTCAAAGCCAGGAGAGCTTTCAAGCTAGAAACAACTGGAGAGGTTTTGGAGTAGGATCACAAATCAAGGCTGAGGTCAGGCTTTTTGTGCTGAGAGCAGCCAAGCTCTGGCTCTGGACTATGGGGACACAGTGGGGGTCAGGGCTCTGCAAAAGGTACTGCCTAGCATAGGATCTAAGGAAGGAATGTTGTGGACACCTCTGACTATTAAAGAAAATTAAAGTACCATAGAACACAGAGGCCATCAGAGAACAGGACATCAGTGCTGGGCCTGGCTCTTCAGACTGTGCTCAGAATGACCAGAGGCCAAGAAGGTCAGCAAATGCCCCATTCCCAGAGTATCGACTCACTCAGTATTTGTTCTGCTTAGAGAGAATAAGGCATACATTTCACAAATAGAAGTCTACATCGTTTAACTGATGTGTGCATGTAATACATTAACTATTAGTTTGATGTGATAACTTTATTACTTGATATAATAATGTTTTATTATCATTTCTGAGCATAACAGAGAATGGCAAGGGAGCAGGTGTAAAACCACAGCCTCCCTGCCTGGCTTCCCCTCTTCTATGGGCAGCACCAGTGCATCTCATCTGCATCTCTGAATAGGGACAGATTATGTGGACTCTGCTTCCCTCATCCCATGTGGGACTCAGGAACATTGCATCAGTGCACACCCATAGTTTAGAGTGTGAGAATCTCCCAGGAAAGCACAACATAGCCATGTGTATTATCAATCGCAAAGCAAAATAGGAAATATTAAGAAACTGGTAGATAGCAAAAAGCAGGTCACTGTCCTTAGAGATCCTATGGCCACCGAGTCTAGAATTGCAAAGAGAGTTCCCTGCCTTAGTATCCCCGTAATGGGAGAGCAGCTCTTTTACAGTTCCAGGGTTTCTGGGATGAGGCCTCTGTGATTTGCTTACTGTGGGGATCATATAGCATCTCACAGACTATTCGAAGCATAAAAACCATGTTGGTTTGAATAAAGAAATGCTCTCAGATAATTCTCATTGCACAAAGTTCTCAGATATATGCACAGATTGAAAGGAGTTTCAAAAATAACAGCACTATTATAGAAGAGGACGGAATCCTTACATTTATTGTGACAGCGCACATCTTGAAATAAATATTAATTAGGTAGAGAGAGAAAGTAAAGCAAAAACATAAGGGAATCATAAAATAACATAGAAATAACAAAGACATATCTAGGGTTACCAGGCCTATGGGATTAAATTTTGGAAGTCTTTGTTCAGTCTATAACACTACAAGGAACAGAGGAAATTGAAACAGTGATGACCAAAATAATTTTCTAAATGATACAAATATATGTATTTGTGTTGATCAGTATGCCAACAGAGTCACATATTTCCACTCAGTCCTGGAACTATATGTAGTATAACTGAGGAACTGTGCTTCTCATTTTAACCAAGTTTTATCTACCAAGGTATGTGGAACGTGAACTGCTGTCTAAAGCACAATTGTTGACAGAGCCAAGTTAAGGTACATAGACCACATCGCTGAATCTTCGGTAACTTTCCTGGATCCTGCTGATGCAATAAAAGTAGTGGAGCCCATTTCTCTTACAGTCACTGAAAGGGAAGCTGGGCCGTGGAGCCCACAATGGTGTCACTGGAGTGGAAAGGCAGGAACAAAACACAGGTGAACCCCTCAGTGAATGATGTCACCCACCAGGGTCTTCCCAGCAAGAGCTATGCTGGCTGATCAAGTGGAAAGTGCACAGTGAACACGGTCTCAACCTCAGACTCCTGGGTCCTATGGGACCTGTCACAGAGGCCTCTCCACATCCTGCTGTCTCTCCTGGAACCAGAGCACCAGGACCCAGAGAGCCACAGCTCCAGGTCTACAGCTCAGTGCTGCACATGCTTCATGTTGATCTTTGTCTGATACAGTGACTGCATTCTGCTGAGAGCTTGTGACAGGCAGGGGATTTGGAGAACAAGCAGAGCAGCAGCAAGGGGTGCACAGCAGGGCCTCCAGGTTCTGAACAGAGGGCAAATTGTGTGATCCGTTCAAGAGAGCCAGGACCACATGTCTGCTGGAATATATCACAATATTATTCACCTTTAAGAGAGTAAAATCACCCATGGGTATGATTCTTGTATTGCTGGATAATTTTTGTGTTGTCCACATGTTAAAATATATTTATTTCAGTAAACAGTGGATTCAGTGGAAGCCCCTGGTATACGCAGCTCCCAAGATTGAACAAATCCCTGACTTGTGCAGGTTGAGTTCATTCACGTGGCCATGGCATTCAGAGCACACAGCGAGTGATCACAGAGACCTCCGCTGGTCACCGTGGATAAACAGTCTCACATCTCCAGACACTGCATCCAGTGCTTGAAATCTTTGCTATTTAACAAGTTCAGGCTGTGTTTTAATTAATTTCTTTTACACAGATATTCTGTACTCCACTGTGGCTGTTATGAATGAAGCTAATTTCATTGGTGTGACACAAGATGCTGTGTGAACTGCTGTTTTTGAGGAACTTACTCAGAGGTCTGGGAGGGCAGCTGCTGGGTCTCACAGAAATTTCTAATCCCTTCCCAAACTATCTGCTAAGAGGTAACAAGTTCTTCATTTTTGTCAGGAATTGACAGTTTAGTTGTTCCAGTACTTGTTTGTTTGTTTAAGATTTCCATTTACTAATATTTGACAGTAAAGAAAATAGATAGATTTCAATAACCTATTTATTATGGTTTACAAATTAGCATTCTCCTGTCATGTATTTGTGTTTCACATATTTTAGATCTTAGCTTTGTTAATACAGACTTTCAAAAGGGCAAAATTTAATAGAAAAAAATGAAGCATTACTGCAATCATTACTGGGGCTAAATAAGAACATCATATCCCTGGGATGAGGAAGCAGGAAGTGGTATATACAGAGGAGATGCATTCTATGGCTGATTCTGAGATTTTTATGCAAAATAATTGTGCAGCCTTAAAGACAGAGGTTGAAATCACTTCCACTGCAACCATCTTGTTTGGAAAATAAACATCCTACTGGGGACCCTCAACTCTGCCACCTCCATTGTGTTCCCAAAGATTTGACTCTGGTGTTCACACTAAGCTAAGTCATTGTTTTTATGGGAGGTATTTAAGTTCCACAGGTGCGAAAATGAAATGGCAAGATGTGACAATAAGTAGAGGAGGTATATTTCAGCATGAAAGGAAACAGGCTCTTTTCTTGACAATGCGCAAGACCAAAGGCAGCCTGCTGGGCACTCTCCAGAGCAATAGAGAAAGAGCCCAGGTTAGGTTCAGTGAAATAGTGAATGATTCTAAGTGATACAAACAAAAACAGTGCTAGATCTAAATTTCCACCTGAAAATCCAGATGAAAGTAGGGTAAAAGATTATGAAAACTCCTTCCCATATTTCAAGAATTATTTAGATTCTTAGTCCAAGCAAATCTATATATTTCTGGTGACTTTGGAGACAAAATCAATACATTGACAACTTCCATTCCAAAATTATCACTAAGCCAATATATTCCAATAAACATAGACTCTGAAAAGGAAATCTTGTAAGTAGCCAGATGTGTTATTTAATATTTTTAATTATTGTGTTTCCTAATACAGTGTATTTTGAGGTTTCCATTCAATAATCTTCCATAGTGTAAAAGCAAGATTTTGTCATTCTGGATAAGGAAAAACTATAGAAATGGTAAAACACAAATGACTTACAGGAAATGGGGTGAAAGAGAATGAATGGGGAAATTTTTAAGAGCAGAGGCTTTTTAGAGCAGTGAAATAACATTGCATCAGGCCAAAATGCTGCGAGAGTGTTATTACACACTTGTTTATCCTGATGAAATGTGCAGCATCAAAAGTGAAGGACAGAAAGAAGAAAGAAAAAGATTCTATGTATATAGGTGTACATATGTATGTATCTGTGTGTGTATCTGTACAACATAGGCAGCTACAGTATTCATCTCTGTTACTTCATCCAAAGAACAGTTTGTGCTTTCATTGTTTGATTATTCATCTTTTCTGTGCCTAGATCTTGTAACCTGAACAATTGCTTCTAAAATAACAATATGCAATTTATTTATTAGTGTTAATTTCCTACAATTTTTTTTGAAATTCTGTATCCCTTTTTTCTGTTTTAAAGTAAAAAGTTTATAACAAAACGGCAAAAACAAAATGTGAACTTTCAAGTAAACTACAGGCTTTGCATATTTATGGATCTTGGTATTTGCAACAAATTGTAATTGTATGTGAATGACAGACTGCATACCCACCTGGGCATAGTTGTGAGGATTACCACTGCATTTTAAATTTTTCAATGGCCTTAATGCACTCTAAACTTTGAAGCAAGTCTTTACAAACTGTTTCTCAGAATGCATACAAGGGCTTCTCTGCTGCTGTCTGAATAAAAAGTGATGCCATAACCAACATTGCTCAGAGGGACTCATCTGTGTCCTTCACTACACCAGGACAGGCACTGTGATGTCTATTCTGCTAGAGCTGAGGAATAGGAATAGAAAAGAGAGTTAGAGTACAGAGAATTCTGTGCCATTCTTCTAAAGCCTCCCAGGGAACTTGCAAGCCTGACTGGGTCAGACAAGTACTCTCAGCTGTTGGACACAGCAGGGCTGACACCTGGGGTGGCAGCCCAGCCTCACACTTCTGCTTTCCCTGGTGGTTTTATTATGGCTTGCATCACCACGGGAGGAGTATCATAACCTTGTAGACAGTAATAATTCACAACATCTTCAGGCTCCAGGCTGTTGATAGTGAGAGTGTAATCTACCCCTGATTTAGTGCCACTGAACCTCAATGGAACCCCGGATTTCAAACTGTTTGCTGCATAGATCAGCCATTTAGGAACTTTCCCTGGTTTCTGTTGGAACCAGTACAAAAGGTAGCCAATGTCTTCATTGGCCTTGCAAGTGATGGTGACTGTGTCTTCCACAGAAATAGGCAAGGAAGTCGGAATCTGAGTCATCTGGATGTCACATCTGGCACCTGAGATTAGAAGCATAACAAATATCAACATGATCTTAGTAAAACAGGACCTCCCTGCAGACACAGACCTCTCTGACCAGGGAATTCTAAATAAACTAAATTCTAAGATCAATTTTTTCTTACCTTGGAGCCAGAGCAGCAGAAGCCCCAGAAGCTGAGCATAGTCCCTCATGTCCATGCTGTGTCCTGACTTGGACACTTACATCTAGTGTGACAAACTTTAAGAAATCCTCAAGCAGGGCTATGCTCTGGGCACATGCAAATCAGCAGAGTTAGGCGTGGCTGGGCACAACTGCAGGTCTGGCTCATTCAGCACTGGCCTATGGCTCTCTGGGATTCAATGGCCTCCTCTGCTCAGATTTCCTTCAGAGAAGGTGTTTCTCTCTTGAGCCACAGGGCAGAATCTGAGTACATAAGTACAGTGAACTACCGTTCTCTTTATGGTTCACACTGCACCTCGCATCTCTGAATAGAGATGGGGTCTGTAAATTCTGTCCCTCTGTCTCTCATTCCCTAGGTCACTTCATCCCTGTTTCACTCACGGCTGCAACAGTCAGAGCTGTGCATCTTGCTCTCTCATCCACCCTTCCTCATTGCTGACCCCCAGTTCAGACTCTACGAATCCTCCTGTGAGGAGGATGATAGTCAGGAGCATTACTAATCACAGAGGAAAATGGGAAATACTAGGAACCAGTAGATGGGGAGGACATGACCTTTTGTGCCCAGAGGCCCCCAAATTCACAGACGAATAGCACTGAGTATCTCTTTCTTCAAAACCTGATACCATTGCACTGAAATCAGAAAGGGAACTTTCTTTGCAGGCAAAGTACAATTCCCTGGGTGATCCTACACCTCGTTCTATTGCAATGCTTCAGTCAACCTGAGCCCCGACACTTTAACCTTAACAGCTTTGGAAAACTGGGTTTACCCTCCTAATAAAGTGTCTAGAAACACTATTTTCACCAATAAAATAGTGAGTGCTTTATCCTTCAGAATAAATGAAAAAGGATGTCTAATTTTTTTAAAAAAATATGCTGAAGCTCCTTCAAAATCTAATAAGACAAACTAATAAAATGCACAAGTTAAAAGCCAAAAAGGTTATTGTCCTTTCCACATACTTTCCACAAAATGTTTTGCATACATTGCTAAATTCTGCACAAAATTAACCAAAATAATAACTTCATAAAATCTCTGGATTCATTGTCAATACAGTCATTGTGTCTTATAAATTTAAAAAAAAACATTTAGGTAAATAGAGAATTTTTCTATGTTCCTCTTATCAAAAAGTTGATATAACTAAAGCTTCATTTTTTCAAAAGGTATATATACACAAAAAATATATTTCATGTAATGAAATCCAATCAATCTACCAGTGATGTACTTAATGAGTGGATAGTTTCTATAATACTTAAAAAAATCACAAAGTTCCTACAACAGCCACAAAATTTTTAAGGAACAGAAATAGAATATGCTTAAAATTCTATTCTAAGATTGTATAGGAAGTGGAGATATAGCTCAACAGTAGAGAATTTGCCTGGTATGCATAAGCGCCTCAGTCTGATTCCCAGCTTTGCCATCAAGGGTGAAGATCATCAAGGAATTTCAGTGAACCAATGTGTGCAGCAGAGGAACAAAAATAAACTGAACAAGTAAAAAAGAAGAGTCCAGAGAAAACACCCACAGGTAGTCATTTCTCCAAACATAGTAAAGTATAGGTTTATGTGCGTGTTTTTCAATACATGGTGAGGAGCAATTGGAAAGGAAAATGAAATTAAGTACATATTGGGAAAATATTGAATCACATGGCATCAGAATAAAAATATGAATTAATAGAACACATGGTCAACGGGTGTGAGTAGGGGAGATTCAGGATAAAGAGCAAGAGTGTAACTGTAGGCTGTAATAGAAGGTAAACTCAAGAAGACACAAACCCACATTCACACAATTACAGGAGAGAAAGTGGTGAAAGAAATCACAGAATCACAAATAAATGCATTCTGTTCCATGTTCCTGGGTTGGAGGAATTAATGCTGCTAAAATGTTCAAACCATCCAAAGTAGATTACAGATTCGGTGAAATCCCCATCAAAATGAAATTGAGAAAATTCCACTGGAATAACAAATTATTCTAAATATGCAGCACATTTTCCTGCTGTTCTTTTTGACCAATTTCCTCCTCACCCCATGGACTTTTTAAACTCAAGTCTATCTGTTGTCACTACATATTAGATTTGTCCTTTTCTGGAATTTCATACACAAATATATCATCTATCTTCTATTCCCTACTCCTTTCCTACTTTTACACAACACAGTTGCTTGTTAGTTCAAGTCATGCTCTTCATGTACAAATAATGGGATCCTCTTCTTTTCTGAGTACTATGTAATGGATGGAGATGTCATAACGTATTGCTTTATGGAGACTGAGGTAAGTTTCGTGTCAGGCTATTATGAATGTGTCTAGTTTGGATGGTTTTAGGCAAAATGTGAGAGAACAGGTGTTTCCAAGTATGTTATTCAAGTGTTTGAAATTTCAACTGTTGGATGTGACACTATGAAAACAGGTTTATAAGACTCTGCCAAGTTATTATCCTAGGAAGTCATAAGGTAATAATTTCCAGCAGGAATTGATATGCATATCAGATGCTCATACTAGTAACTTTTTAAAAATTTTGGTTAGTTTATACCCAATAGTAACTAGATGAGGTAGAGGTCATGAGAGCATTTATTAATTACCATTCCCTATGCTTGGAATGTTTTAGAAGCCTGAGAGCTAATCTTAATTAATACAGCCTATCGAAAAGGCAAAAATTAGTAAAGAAAACATTAGAGAGTAATAATACCTGAAAACATCTTGCCAATGGGTTCAAGAAGGAGGGAATGTGTTACAGAGAGAATGCTCGCTACTGCTAAATGTGAGGTTTTTCTGGGAAAAAAAATCGGTATGTGTTATAGTCAGGGGTTGTTCATAGAACTATTAGAATCAAGATATGGAGTTTATAATATTATTTTTTATAATGGTCACCCAGAGTTAACAAAAGAAAATGCAGGAAATCTATCCACAACACTAAAGACATAGAATAATTTAGCCAAGGGCCTGAATCCCACAGCCATGTCCCACATGAGTCCAGATGAAGACCCAGAGCTCATGACAATGCCTCCCATGACTCCCACTGGAGGTCTCTCTCTCTCTCTAAAGCCCACAAGGTCTCATGACAGTCTCTTTTACAGATCTGTGCTGGGAAGGCCCAAAGGTCAGCGATGGAAGCCAGGAAATCTATACCAGCTGTGCTGGTGGGTTGAGGGTTCTATGATGGAGCTAAGAAGTTACACTTACAACAAAGACCGTGTCTGTCCTAAAAAGTACCACAACCATCCCCAGCAACAGAGAGGCCTCAGGCTCCTCGGACAACAAGCACAGTCGAGTACGTGCTGGAAAGCCAGCATGACCAGTTAGTTCATCCTGGAGACCAAGGGGCACACATCTTCCTCCCCAGAGCCAAGAAGCAATGCTCAATGTGAAGACCAGACCTTCTACAGGAGAACCAATGGCTCAAAAAGAAACTCATAGGCGAACCCACAATGCATCAACACCTCAACCCAATAGCTTCTCCTTCTCCACGGCTCTATGCTGGCAAATTTTCTCAGGTGGAACATCTGTGCTCAGCGCCATGCTGATGTAATCAAGCTGGCATGAAGTTGACCACCAATTCTTAATCCATAGCAGTATGTTACTTGAAGACTGTGTCCCTACAATGGCTGCAACCTTCTCTGCTGTTGCCATCTTGATTGGAAAACTAGAAAACATTCTAGTGGCCCTATGATAACCAGGCCACACCCTAATGTCTACCTAAGAATGAAGTCTATTTTTCCCCTGGGGATGAAAGGCTGTTTTGATGGAAGGTATTCAGTGCCACAACCTAAAAGTCACATATGAAGATGTGGAAATAAGAACAGGAGATACTTGTCTTTGGAAAAAAATGAAGCCACTTCTTTTTTTCTTCATTTCTAAGAAAAAGATCAACACGAGCAAGTGGGAGCTCCCTGACTTGTGGAAAAAGACACTGAGCTGGGTTCAGTGAAACAGTGAAAGGCTCTGAATGATGTAAAATGAACAGTGAGAGTCTCAGGGTCCACCTGTAAATGCAATAGGTTGTATGAGCACCAGATTTATAACAACATTATATCAATAAAATAACTTAAATAAAAAAGAGTTTAGAACTCCCTCTGCTTATTTTAAAATTACAGTAGACTCTTAACATCAGTCCAAACAATCAGTATCCATGTGGTGACCTCTGAGACACACTCAGTACTATGAAAGCACCACAGTATTGCACAGTACAGGATCTAACACACTTGCTATGCCAGGATATTCGTGATAATCACAGATGCGATAAAGGGAGTCTTGGTAGTAGCAAAATGTATAATTCATTATTTTTATTTCTGTGTTACATAGCAGTATATTTTGACATTGGTTTTTGAAAATCTTCCATAATGTAAACACCAGGATTTTATCTTTCTAGGAAAGGGAATGCTATAGACATGGGGAGACATGGTTCCCTTACAGAAAATGGAGGAAAAAGAAGGTGCATAGGTACAAGACAGTGGTATTATGACAACACTGCGTCATAACACATTTTGGAAATGTGGCATTACATCTGTGTCTTGTGCTGAAATATTTAATGTCAATAGTCAAAATTAATGTGGACTGGGAAATTTGAGTTTGAACTTATCATGATGAGTTGCGACAGAGTTGAATTTACAGTGATAATCTATTTTGCAGATGTAGGGACAGAGGCATACAATACACCTCTGCACTTTAACCTTCGTTGTGAATACAGGTCTCTAAATGGAGGACTTGAAGAGGAATATCTGCAGCCATTATTAATATCCTAAAATCTTGTTTCATTGTTATGTACTGTTTATTCTGTATTATTTTGTTTGATTTTATTCCATTTTGTTTTATTTCCTTCATTACATCTGATGCTATGGAAAGTTACTTTGAACATAACAATAGATAGATAGATAGATAGATAGATAGATAGAGATATAGATATATAGATACATATACATGTTAGCCTCTGTTGATTGCTATTACCTTGTTTTGTAGTGCAATATGGATTTAACTGTATTGTTCTGCTTAAAATTATTTTTGTTGTACTTTGGTTTTAGTCTCTTTAAA